GCTTTAACAGAACAGAACAGAGCTTATTCACCCAGCCAAACTCTTATACATGATACAGATGCTATCTCCAACATCATAGATGTTCCACCTCAAAAAGGTTTCTTTGCCACATGACCTCTGATTCCTACTGTTGGTGTGCTAAATGACTTCCTCTAAAACCTGCTGTTGCCAAGCTACTTGAATTCCTACAATCTCCGCTGTTGCTGCACCACACACAGCTGATACATTCACACCCGGACATGCACTCCTGTTCAGCTAGCTGCCATTAGAAGTGGGAGGGCACAGTCTCCAGAGCTTCATCTGTAGATCGTGTCCTCTCCAGATTCTGAAACCAGAAAACACCCATTAGCATGTGAGTGATGCATCACTGACTGTCTTCATCATGTTTCATCTTGAATTACAGAACAGCTGTCAGAGCTTCATGAGGACTAAGAAGCATAAAACATGAACACTAATGTTGCTGCATGTCTATGGACAATATCTCTACTCATTTGTCTTTAGAAAAACACTAGGTGGTGAGAACAATCTTGTTAACTTATCTAGACCATCACGCCAAAGCTTTAACTTTTGATGGTTTGTTTTATAATTTCATACTTTTCAATATTCTAGCTACAACACTGCCTACAAATGGATCAGTCTGGACCAAGGTGACATCATCAATGGACCATCTTGTTGGCCTCGGATGACAGGCAATCAAGTCACTGAAGAGGTCAAGCCCATCAAATTGTGCACTTTCAACAACAAATATAGGTTACTGGGGAACCGTAGTAAGATGAAATCCCATCAGGGATGATATTTGGTCATTTTGATTATTGATAATTGATACTTGATGACAGGCTTCTGTGACAGTTACCATAATAATTCCAGGAAATTTGGATAAACAATTTGTTGGTTTCAGGACATGAACTGATGTATGTGTTCATAAACTGTTTCCTTTACTGAGGAGAGTGTTAACGTTTGACAAGGTACACATCTCTCATTTTCATGTGCACCAAAGATCTTAATACATGTAAACATATAGTGTAAATGCAAGGACAGTTTGTATATAACACTTTCATGTTGAAGAACTTCTGAACTATGATATTCAATCAATTCTAGAGAGTATCAGGCACAACTGAAGCCATCATGTGGAACAGACACAAGTGGTAAGTGGATTGTCCATGTATACACAGGGAATGACAATCATGTCAACATATCATGGAAACAAGAAGAACAAAAGCAGAGTTATCTCCCTCTAAAACTAATGACTGTCAACATTTCCAATCTTGTTTGGCCCAATTGCCAGTCATTATTAGCACATTTTGTTTGTATACAGATATTTAGACACACAGTGTCTAAGACTGGAAATGAATCTGTACATACAAAAGGCCAGCTCGCTTTTTAAAATTGGGTTTACAAATGGACAGTCTCAAAGTAACACCTCGTGTATTTAACAAGAAACAAGCAAAACATCATCCATGTACTGTTATTATCAATATTGATAAATTATATATAATACTAGGAATAATAGTAATCATATGCTGAAAATGGAATTTTTACATACTTATATTTTTGACCTGCCACCCTGAATTTAGGGACCTTAAACTGTATACTATATACTAATTAGAAAAAGTCTGACCCAATATGAGAGTTAATTACACAGGACACACCTGTTATATACTTCACATTTTATTCATCACTTCTGTACTGTACACACATCATGTTACATGTATATCACATAATAAAAATAGCACTGATATGTCTGGAGCAAGTATATAGCTCATCTGTCACACACACAATTATAAACATACATGTATATACACATAGATATTTAGTTAATGTTAGTGTTACAGAATTATGCTGTAGCATCTATAGAATAAGGCTGCAACAGTTTTTAAGATAACAGTCGTGCATAAAATAACATGTTTATAGACAAACTGACTTCACATTTTTTGACAAGAAAAGATGAAATATCTCTTATTACATATTATCCAACCAATCTCACAAGATTGTATTAGACAAAGATATTATTTCATCATAATATACAGAAACAAAACTGCTTCATCCTTTCAGAAATACGCTAATAATACTTTTTTACAATACTTGTGCTGTGACACACTGTGAGTCAGAAACATATGAAAGTGTCTTCACTTATTTTCCTGAACACCAAAACACATAATTTTGCCCGCCTCGCTCTGAAACTGTTGCAACCTTAAAGAATATTATCACCGGTATGAAAGGTCAGGACTAGTAGTGATGGTATGACTCTCTTGATACAATACATATCACAATACCTTGTTCACAATATTAAACGTATCGCAATTCTATGGGAATTAATATATTTCATGAGGCACAAACACAATTCCTGAAAATCTGCTCTCATATTTCACAACATAAATGTCTCATTTCAATAAAACAAGTGGTCAGCATAAGTGTTTTATTACTAAATAAAATAGCAAATGCCCTGTCAACATAATACCTTAAATCATGAACCAAACTTAAACAAGTAAATAATAATACAAACATGAACTGATACAGGTATGTGGTTAACGCTTATTGTATTTTGCCTGAGAATACTATCAATGAACCGATGTATTGGTGAATCGTGACAGTCCCAGTCCGTCATTAGCAGGAGACCCTATCTGTCTTCTAGAGACATGCATGAGGATATAATAGCAATGTGATGATTGTCATCTTACATTTAGGTCAAATCTATCTAGGTCTCCCAACTAGTGAAGTTGTGACAAGCAATAACAAGGTAGTGTCAACATAATAATCAAACCTTACATTAACAATCATAAAACGAAACAACAATTTCAGTGTGATTCAAAAGTAAGTGAGTGAGTGAGTTTAGTTTTACGCTGCACTCAGTAATATTCTAGCTATATGGCGTTGGTCTGTAAATAATCGAGTCTGGACCTGACAATCCAGTGATCAACAGCATGAGCATCAGTCTGCTTCAAAAGTAAGTAAGGGTGGGGTTAAACTACAGCATTGCATCTTAATGAGCTAGTGTAAGTTCCAACCAGTACAAGCAGCCACACACACATATATACACACTGATATATGAGTGTATCTTCATGAATGCAACTTAAAGACCATTTTCACCTCCCTCCCATTTCATTTAAAGCTGATTCCTGCAGTATCACAGAACATTCTTCCCATACATTGTACATTGTACTAAGTCAGGTCTTTGGTGTTCTCAGCCTCTGCCTTAACTAATCTGAGGCTGTTCCTTCCACCCTTCCAACTAGGAGGAAAATGCCTGATGTCAAAGACCCCAAATTATGATGATATTTAGTATCTGGCCCCATGGCTCTGTACAATTAACAATGCACCAGATGAAGGTACTGTTACTGACACTACAGCTGTAGCAGCAGGAATACCACACCCTGGTAGACCGGCACCAGAAAACACTGTATTGTTACTGACACTACAGCTGCAGCAGCAGGAATACCACACCCTGGTACACCAGCACCAGAAAACACTGTATTGTTACTGACACTACAGCTGCAGCAGCAGGAATACCACACCCTGGTACACCAGCACCAGAAAACACTGTATTGTTACTGACACTACAGCTGTAGCAGCAGGAATACCACACCCTGGTAGACCGGCACCAGAAAACACTGTATTGTTACTGACACTACAGCTGTAGCAGCAGGAATACCACACCCTGGTACACCAGCACCAGAAAACACTGTATTGTTACTGACACTACAGCTGCAGCAGCAGGAATACCACACCCTGGTAGACCGGCACCAGAAAACACTGTATTGTTACTGACACTACAGCTGTAGCAGCAGGAATACCACACCCTGGTAGACCGGCACCAGAAAACACTGTATTGTTACTGACACTACAGCTGTAGCAGCAGGAATACCACACCCTGGTACACCAGCACCAGAAAACACTGTATTGTTACTGACACTACAGCTGCAGCAGCAGGAATACCACACCCTGGTACACCAGCACCAGAAAACACTGTATTGTTACTGACACTACAGCTGCAGCAGCAGGAATACCACACCCTGGTACACCAGCACCAGAAAACACTGTATTGTTACTGACACTACAGCTGCAGCAGCAGGAATACCACACCCTGGTACACCAGCACCAGAAAACACTGTATTGTTACTGACACTACAGCTGCAGCAGCAGGAATACCACACCCTGGTACACCAGCACCAGAAAACACTGTATTGTTACTGACACTACAGCTGCAGCAGCAGGAATACCACACCCTGGTAGACCGGCACCAGAAAACACTGTATTGTTACTGACACTACAGCTGCAGCAGCAGGAATACCACACCCTGGTACACCAGCACCAGAAAACACTGTATTGTTACTGACACTACAGCTGTAGCAGCAGGAATACCACACCCTGGTTGACCGGAACCAGAAAACACTGTATTGTTAACAGATACAGAGCAGCACCTTCCACAAGTTCATACTAATAAGTTAAAGTCATGTTAATTAAAAACACACAAAGATCAGATTATATTCCTAATCAACACTAGTAAATTGGATTATACATTGTTTAAAAGCTTGATTTAAGAAAATAAAAGTCAAACAGCAAAACTCACCTTTTCTAAATATGGTCACCTTGTGATATTTGAAGGAACAACAACAAAAAATAATAATGGGAATTAACAACGAAATGACTCCACATCTAAACAACACACAATGGTATTCCTTTAAGTTTTAACTATTTCAGAAATAGTAGACAAATAACTTGGTTATCGTTAGGAATTTCCATCAGATTCTAATGGCTTGATGAAAGAGATAATGAGCATTTTAAATCCTGAAGTAGAGAACTTCACTCTCTTAACACACAAAATGCCTTTTGAAATGTCTTGTATGATCAGAGAAATAACACATATATGCAGAGCCGTAAGCTTTTGATCTATGCACTTGTAACAATTTTATTTAAGATCCAATACACACAGATCAATGTAACAATCACAAATAACACAATGACAAACAAGGAAATGCAGCAACAATGTTATTGTTTTGGTATATATATATATTAATTAAAAAATAAAAGTATTTGTAGCTTCCACTTTTCAGTCACTTGCAGGTGGGAAAATTATGACATCTTGGTTTAAAAATACACTGACATACATTTAAATATAAGAACCATTAGATCATCTTTTTTATCTTGAATAATGGAAAATACTATTTCATAGTAGGTACACAGAACGACAGTAAGCTATGAACATGCCTGGGGCATTACTCTACTCTAGATATGACTTTAAAATTAACTTGTCTCTTATTTCATTTTGATGGAAATGAATATATCTGTAATTCAAATGGTGAAAATGTGCCATTGGGATGATACAAGCATGAACTGTGTTGTGATAAACCATTTGTCTTAATTTGGGTCTCAAAAGGTTCAGTAATCAGAAATGGCAAAAAGGTTTCATGAAGTTTTTAATCTAAAATAGCCTGCCTTGATATCCTGTTGGTCTAAGCTACAGATTCGACATATGACATCTGCTTGAGATGGCAGTTATTCACTGTACATTATCCTTTTGTTAACATCAAATATAGAGTCATAAAATTAATATACATATGATACTTTGGCATAACTGATATATAAGCATTGTCAGGGAGAACAAGAACATCAGCACACATGATCAGCAGCATGTGCAACATCGCCAAAATAGCAGTGGAAGATTGTCATATTTGTTAGCTGTAACTGACATACAGGAAGTACCGGAAGGCCTACTATGTTGTAAGAGGCAGGTAAAAGAAGCATGGGTATCATTCAAAAACAAAGTATTTCATAAATCTGCTGAGACTGCTAGGATTGGCCCTTCAGTGATGAGTGAGTGAGTAATGATGTATGCAGCTTCTAGCGATACACCAGCGAGATGAAGAAAGGGCTTAACACTATGTATCCCACAGCTAGGAAAGCCACAAAGTAACCACTAGCTAGATTACCACATCAACATGAAACCTGATCGGTCAATCAAAGAAAATCTACGTTATGTCATAAACGTAAACCATATTTCACAGTTATTGATCAAGCAAGTTGTTAAAATTTTGACAAATGTATTAGCTCATGAAACTTCTAATATTCGATAACATACTGAACTTTCCAGTTGTACCACAGAAATGGATGATGAACAGATTAAAACAAAAACAATCAGTTCCACTTTAAAACATGACATTTACAAACGTCATACAGAGGCTACAGGCCAAGTCTAGTGATTTTTGGTAATATAAGCCCATCCATAAATAAACAATCAACTTCAGTATAGACAAAGGACAGGTTTGGGCTTGTAGAATCAACACATATTACTGCACCTTACATGGAACATCTAGACTCCTCTCAATGATCACAATAATATCAGCCAACAGTCTGGATATGGAGAATGACTAGTCACTCATTATACATGTATAACTAAGGCTACATCAGCGTCCAGAAGTAATAATTTTAGGAAATAAGAATGAAAGACAATCAAACACTGGGCAAGCATGTGAGAAGAAAGTCAACTTGAATAAAACACATGAAAAGGTCAACGACTAATTACACTGGTAACTTGACCAACAATTGATTGACAAAGAAATAGACAAAAAACAAACGGGAGGAGATGCCACTTTCACTGAAGTGTTTCTTCAGCAGCTGAACGCTTCTTGAAGGACACATCTGTAGTTGTAGGACAATAGCAATGGATCTCAGTGACTTCAGACTCATACCATGTACATTCCCTGCAGTATCACGCTCACACATTCCCAGACACAACAAACATAGATTGGTCAGTTTCTCTTCATACACACAGCTGAAACTACTGATGAGCACCATCTTGTGGTAGAGAAAGTAGAATACACACATCTGTATTTATTACAGGAAGACATGAGGCACTCTTTGCATGAAGCAAACTACCTTTTGTTTAAAATATCGTTCATTGAGTAGAAACTTCTTAAGTTTATCTGTCACATTCGGGCGAGTGGAGAGAAATGAAGTTTGTGTTCCTGCTTTCAGGAGTCTTCCTCCTCAACTATACCACACTGGAATGAATCATGTATCACTAAAAGAGCATCTTCAAGCACCCTATGCTATGTCATCCTGCTGAAAGACCCTGGTCATCCATTACGATCTACGTTGGTGGTGGCAAAGGTCAAGGCTACAAGCCATTACTCAAAGCAAGAGCAAGTGGTGGCCTCAATGGTGCTAATGGACCCATTGGCTAGGACAGTCTGGAAGAAGGAAAGAAAGGAAGTCAGTAGGGGACAGAACTCTTGTGGGATATTAGTTTGTCAGTGACGATTTGGAAAACATTTCATATTAATTGAATATGTACTAGAAAAATGATGACTTCAGATGAGAAATGTTGGATGTATTCAAACAGTCATTCATCAAAGATGACAATCTCAGGTCAATTCACTTGAGGTCTGATAGTCTACTACTGATGTCATGACAAAAATAGAATGAATACATTTGGCATTTTACACAGAAAAAGCTTTTCCTTCTTTCAGCAACAAAGACATTTTTACTGTGTACTCTACAGTAGGGGCAAAACAGGAGACACACTTTAATCATATTATTCTGTCAGGAAAGTCTCTGCTGAGATGACAAAACACATTTACATCTGGGCTAAGATGCACCACAACCCTCCCTAACCAACCCCATAATCCTACATCACACCATTCTGTCTGGGTCAAACCACAGTGCAGACACAACACTTGTGACAAGACTAGGCACAGACACAACACTTGTGACAGAACAAGGTATAGACACAACACTTGAAACAAGACTTGGCAGAAACACAACACTTGTGACAAGACTAGGCACTGAAACAAAGCTTGTGACTAGACTAGGCCCATATGCACTCTTGCAACAGAAACATAACACTTGTGACAAGACCTGGCAGAAACACAACACTTGTGACAAGACCTGGCACTGAAACAAAGCTTGTGACAAGACGAGGCACAGATGCACACTTGCAACAGAAACACAACATGTGTGACAAGACTAGGCACTGAAACAAAGCTTGTGACAAGACGAGGCACAGATGCACACTTGCAACAGAAACACAACATGTGTGACAAGACTAGGCACTGAAACAGCACTTGCAACAAGACCTGGCAGAAACACAACACTTGTGAGAAGACTAGGCACTGAAACAAAGCTTGTGACAAGACGAGGCACAGATGCACACTTGCAACAAGACAAGGCATTGAAACAACCCTTGTGACAGGAAAGCAGACACAGATATAAAGACAGTTTCAGCATTCAATATTGCTCATTAAACACAGGAGCTAAGGAATGGGTGAGTGAATGATCCAACAGTATTTTAGTGATATCATGGCATTTAAGCTGAATGTTTGAGGCAAGCCTAAAGTGATGCAGGTCTCTCACTGTTACTGCTTTCACTACCAAACCAGCACAGCAACATGTGTTGCATTTGGGATTATACTTTCTCAGCAAAGTACAGATTCTAATACATTTTTTAGAAAGTCAGTGTTCTGACCCTCTCAACCACCACAGCAGAGTGTACCCCAGAAACAAGTGAAAATTACACAATACCTTTTCGAAAATAGTCAAATGCAACATATGTTATATTTGTTTTTTTGCTTTTCTAAAAGGCATTGTGTATTCCTAGCTTCTGGCATTGGGAGCCATGTAGTTTACACTTGTCAGAGGGATCCAGAATCTACATGATCTGGACTACCAGTGGTCAAACTTCCATTTTAGGGTGTGACTTAACTCAAAAGTAATAGAAACTGTATTTACTGAGAAAGTGTAATCCCAAATATAACATATGTTACATTTGACCACTCGGGGTGAATTAAAATCGCAGGTTCTCGCATACTCAATGTGTGTAACTCTTCTCAACAAATTCTTGCATCCTTATGTGAGAGATGAGCAACCTGCATGCTACAGATGTAAGAGGTTTTGATATACAGCTGTAACATTTACGTATCAAGTCAACTGAGAACTCTGATCCATTTTGGTCATGAAAAATGTAATTCAGTCAAAGTTCAAAGCACAGATAAAGAGATGCATGATATCATAAACACTGAGGACATGTTTTAGACAGTATGATGTCCTGTATGTGTCCTTGTTGCAAACAGCATCGCCTGAGAAGATTCCTTGACAAGGAAAGGTCAAGCATCCTAGCCTTGGAAGAGAGTTGTAGCTGACAGCATTACAGAAAGCTGCAAGAGAGTCGGCAGCCAAAGACACTAGGAAGCCACAACACTACAAATAACATGACATGGCACAGTGCTGATCCAACAGCATGATACTCTGCTAAATATGTTGGTCACATGAAACACTGCTCTCTGTTGACAAACAGCTTATAAAATACTAGCTCTGAAAAATCTTTTGGGGGGCATGATGAAGGCCTTTATTAACATATATAAACCATAAACAAACCACATGTACAACATACATAAAGTTGCAAAGCCAGAGTGGCCATGACACATATCTGACATATATATATGCCTCATGTTGACCTGTGTGATGTATGAAACATAACTGTCTTGAGCTGGTTCTCAAGTTCTATGCCTGACTGTTCCTCATGACAAGTGATCCCATCTCACGAGTTTTCACTCCATAGTTCTCTCTTGTTATAACAAAGGCATTCAGACAACACAGCATCAAGCAACAATGCACACTGTGGTTACTAGGTGAATGAGTGTGTGAGTGAGTATCGTTTTATGCCGCTTTTAGCAATATTCCATCAATATCACGGCAGGGGACACGAGAAATGGGCTTCACACATTGTACCCATGTGGGGCATCGAACCCGGGTCTTCGGCGTGCTGAGCGAATGCTGTAACCACTAGGCTACCCCACCAACCCGTTACTAGGTGAAAAATTCAGTAGATGTTTAAAAATACGTCTGCAATATACACTCGATTATACAAATGAATGGGTCGGGGTAAAATAGTGACAACCCACACATCATGGTTTTTCCAGATAATTATATTTAGTGGTTTCCAATGTCCAGTATTGTTATATGAGCATGAGTTATCTCCCCTAACTTGGCAGGTGCAGAGTTGCATCATGTCTATATTAAGGATAAGGCACATGCATGTGGTGCCCTTTTGGCAAGACCATGACAAGCCACAAAATCATGGCAGGATGCATGCTATCTGACGAAGTTGTTTTGAGAGAAATCTCCACCCATAGCGAAGATGATGACTGGACCCATGTTCCCCACAATGAAAAAACTTCTCAAGGATCTGATTCTGACATTTCTTGACATTTAAGTGTTAGAAAATATTACCAGAGACCATATAATATTATTATATGGTCTCTGATATTACTTTTTCACACTTTTATTATTTCGAGTGGGTTATCATGTACTTGCCAAACTGATCATTTCATGAATTTTGATATTCCACTATCCACCCAATTTGGAAAGCTTTTCATGTAAATTCTTCTATTATGACTAAACAGATCATATGCACTCATTCAAGGACAGAAATGTAACTTCATGCTTCACCAAGATAATGCCCGTCCACACGTCGCTCGTGTGACATATTTCCTGAGACAGCAGAACATTCCGGTACTTCTCTGGCCAGCTGTTTCTCCGGACCTGTCCCCTATCGAGGAATGAAATGGAGCGACGTTTACATCAAGCCCAAAATCAGCCATTAACGTTGGCTGAATTGAGACAAGCGTTGGTTCAGACATGGAACATTCCCCAAGCTTTCTTCAATCGCTTAGTGTCGTCTGCCAGCCTGCATCAATGCCAATGGTAGACACACACAATACTGACTTTGTGAACTGACTTTTTTTTGACCCCACATCTCTTCAAGGGCATGTCACGATGCCTAGTGCCATATCATACAGATTTCGGTCTTATCCTGTCATCAGTTAAACAGTAATTAAGGAAAACACCACAAACCATGTTATTATCCTTTTGCATTAAAAACGGCATAACAATAAATACTGCACAGTTACTTACTTCCACTAGTATATATATATTTCTTTAGAACGACAGAGTCGTCCATTTCCTTATTAGTGTGAATCTGATGTGGGTTAACACAAATACAAATATCGATCTTTGAGCAAGAGTTTGACAAACTCGTTTTGGCATGAAAGTGATAACCAACACAAATTGTTTACAGTAGGTATCTTCGAGCACATAAAAACACAATTTCCTGTAATCGAAACATACTGTGTCTTTTTTGGCTCACTACCAGAAGTATAAATGATTACAAAATAGTTTGATTTTATTTCAAAAGGCACTAATATTTTTCATGAATGATCAAACTTTCAAAAGTGATTATCTCGAAAGTAGGTTTGTGTGGTTTATCACTATCTTCTCCCGACCCATTCAAATGATAAAATAATGAAGCTTGCACTCAATTATATATTCAAGTACTTAGATGAAACGATTTAGAGAACTTGAACAATTCAAAAATATTTATCTTAGCTTAATGTTTGTAATAAATTCCTCATTAATGCAACAGGTAGTGGCTATGGCCATAGCATTGACCACATTTTTGGAACCTAGATGTTGTTTGAAACATTCTCTGATTGGGCAAACAATATGCGTGATAGTCCACTCTAATTGTAGCACAGAACATAAGGCTCACAATGGCAAGGGTGAAAACTACATTTAGATACAGACAAGAGTGAGTGAGTGAGTTTAGTTTTACGCCGCACTCAGCAATATTCCAGCTATATGGCGGCGGTCTGTAAATAATCGAGTCTGGACCAGACAATCCAGTGATCAACAGCATGAGCATCGATCTGCGCAATTGGGAACCGATGACATTTGTCAACCAAGTCAGCGAAACTGACCACCCGATCCCGTTAGTCGCCTCTTACGACAAGATAGTCGCCTTTTTATGGCAAGCACATGGGTTGCTGAAGACCTATTCTACCCCGGATCTTCACGGGTCGATACAGACAAGAGAATACTCTTGCATGGGACAGATGCACATAATCATGCACTACACAATATGGTTGTCTGAAAAAGCTCAGTTTTCAAAGACATAAGCGTTCTATTAACATGACATTGTCATCTGATGACTACAGACAGTTGCAGGGGGATCTTCAAGACTACAAATTTTAATGCAGAGGTGTTGAGGCAGCAGCAAAATGCACAGGAAAGTTGTGTTGTGGGAAGTCAGGCACTTAGGTTTAATGACCAATATCAACATGCAAGTATCCAGTACAGGGAAATATACCCTGACCAAGGATCTCCATAATGTGTGATTCATTTATTATATATGCATAGCATCAGATTTGTTTATGATATTTTAGGTGTCCCCAACTTTCTCGGAGACTTATAATCATGGTTATTTGAATTTCTGCACGAACAGGGCAGGAAACACTTAACCTGTTCCATCTCAGTACACACAAATATCACAATACTGTTTCCCTGGCCATTTTCATACATTTCTAAAAAAAGATAAGTTTCTTTCTTTAGTGAAAATAATTAATTCATAGTATACCAGTTAAAGCAACCTGGATGGCTGTTTTTTACAATTAAGTGTCATGATGTAACACATGCTGTTTGTCGAAGTATTTAAAGATATGTATAAAAAGCACAAACATCCTTCAGTATCGCTTTGAAATAATACTTCTTTGATGTTGTCTTCCAAGTTTGTTTTTCCTTCATTATAAGCAATACGAAATTTAAGTTGAATTTTTTTCTAAATTTTGTTTTACCTAAACTGAATAACTGTTTAAAAAAAACAACTAACAAAAAATATTAGGCCTACCTAACCATCTCAAAGACATCCTAATGTGCACAAAGCAAAGATGAAAACATGGATGGATTGGGCACACGTGCAGGTCCACAATACTGACATGTGCACTGACCTATCCTAGCCAATGGACCACTTACAAATGTCACATAACATACCACTCAAAAAGCTAACGATCACCCAAGAGAACATGGTAAAACAACCGGGCAATTCTTATCTGTTTTGAGTGGTACATCACTGAAGTCAAGATCCGGAGGCCATGTCAAGTCCAAGCAATCAAAAAGGAATGATCACCCATTTATTCAGCTTACAATGTCAGCATGTGATATTATGGGATATAATGGTATAAAGTATAACCTTGCAGACGTCGACAGATGAAGGCAAGACAAAATATGAAGTTGATGATGATCCAGTCAGAACTCAAACATCTGTACAGATTACGTCACAATAACAAACAAACTCTTCAACTGTACTTATACATATGCACCAACTTCAAAGTCAGTAGTGAAGAAGCCATAACTACTTGAGGCTCAAATATGGCTCAGCATATGGTGGATTGCTGGGAAACATTTTTGGCTGAGGCTACCCTAAGTTTGGCAAAAACAATGTGTTTCAAAAACAACACATTTTGGTTGGTATTCTGGCAAAAGTCCCAAATATTGAGGATCAATATTTTAATTTCATCCCTACATCTTTGAATTCACACAACAAGAATGAATAAATCTAATTAGAATTAGTTTCCCCAAGATACATTAGAAAAGCATTCAGTTTGGCTTGGCGTGGGTTCTGAGCCACAGCCTTGTGTTCCTGCCTGTGTGAAAGAAGTGATGGTGAACAATGGTGGGACCACTCACCTTGGGTTTCTCCCTGTGAGTGTTCACTGCTTCAATGTTCAAGGAGATCAGCTCCACTCTACAACCATAGGCTACCGGGGTTAACTTTATCACGGTATGTAGCGGAACCTTCAAATATGGCAGATCCTCTGAAAACAGGAAAGGCTTACATTAGACTGTATAATGGTACAATCAGTAACAATTTTAGTATTCAAACTTCACCTTCAATGTGCATTTTGATGCGTGTTTGCTTAACACATGTCATTCACATCATATCATGCTTCCTTGTATTGACTGATGTATCATGTTCTGCATACGCAAAGCTTACAGTCGTATCAACAAAATGCTTCATGTCAATTGTATGGAACTCTTCAAATTCTCTCTTCTGAATGCTTCATGTCCAGTCTATGGAAAGCTCCATATTCTATATACTGAATGCTTCATGTCCAGCCTATGGAATGCTCCATATTCTGAATGTTTCATGTCCTGTCCACAAAATGCTTCATATTTTATCTTGGGATTTAATCTGCTGAATGCTTCAGATCTTGTGTGTGGAATGCTTCATATTGTATCTGCTGAATATTTCATATCCTGTCTATGAAATAATTCATGTCCTGTCGAGGAATGCTTCATGTCCTGTCTATGGAATAATTCATGTCCTGTCTATGGAATACTTCATGTACTGTCTATGGAATACTTCATGTACTGTGTATGGAATGCTTCATGTCTATGGAATACTTCATGTACTGTGTATGGAATGCTTCATGTCTATGGAATAATTCATGTACTGTCTATGGAATGCTTCATGTCCTGTCTATGGAATACTTCATGTCCTGTCTATGGAATGCTTCATGTACTGTGTATGGAATGCTTCATGTCCTGTCTATGGAATGCTTCATGTACTGTGTATGGAATGCTTCATGTCTATGGAATAATTCATGTACTGTCTATGGAATGCTTCATGTACTGTGTATGGAATGCTTCATGTCTATGGAATAATTCATGTACTGTCTATGGAATGCTTCATGTACTGTGTATGGAATGCTTCATGTCTATGGAATAATTCATGTACTGTCTATGGAATGCTGCATGTCTGGTCTATGGAATGCTTCATGTCTTGTCTATGGAATGCTTCATGTCCTGTCTATGTAATGCTTCATGTCCTGTCTATGGAATGCTTCATGTCCTGTCTATGTAATGCTTCATGTCCTGTCTATGCAATGCTTCATGTCCTGTCTATGCAATGCTTCATGTCCATTCTACACAATGCTTCATGTCCTTCCTATGGAATGTCATGTCAACAGAAGGCACATGTTTGCCTTCTCATTCTAAGTATGAAAATTACTTCATATTGAATGAAAAAAATACTTGCAAAATTCCAGTTGTGTAATAATAATTGATCCAACACAGCAGGAGAGAGTTGTAACTTCTTGTTGTGTTGTGATATAAACATTAATGAAAAAAGGTAATCAACTTTAAACTATATAACACAAACAGAAGTTGTGATATGGCAGCAATCGGAATGTATGTCAAATGATAACATGGTGGTATAATATAAGGAGGATACATGGGAACCATATAGTTTGAGGCAACATACAACAATAAATGTGTAGACAACATGTTGAGGTGACTATCACTCTGCAGTGTAGGGGAGACAGTTCACTTGCTGTGAGTACATACATGCATTGCAGCAAGTGCTCAAGGTAACAACTGAGCGTGTTATACCACAAAGCCAAGCAAAATAGTGTGAGCCTTGGCAACATGCAATCACCATAAACAAACACAACACTGGGTATAATACAACATTGTAGTTTTTAGATGGTTAGTATTAAAGATATACTGAAATGTCTCTACACAGAATTCCAAACAAGACTTGACATCGCCTTGTATCACTTCCTTTCAGAAGAGTAATGTTAATCCTTTGGTGTCAACCATGTTTTGAATATGTCTTTCTTTCTTTGGTTCTCAGTCTCTGAGCCAACTCACTGAACTGCAAGTTTAATACCAATACAAAATGTCAAATCAAATGTCCCCTGCAGGATGAAAATGTTAAGTGTCAACGAACGTAACACTTCTTACATGATGACAAATACACTATCTGTTTATGAATGAGGATACTTGTGTCGTATATCTTCACTATGCTATTCTATATAAGTACAATCAAGTTGGTTCAGTATCTTTGGGCCACAGCTGGATGTGCTCAGTTTGGTCCAGTATCTTTAGGCCAATGTTGGATGTGCTCAAGTTGGTCTAGTACCTTTAGGCCAATGTTGAATGTGCTCAGGTTGGTCCAGTCTCTTTAGGCCAATGTTGGATGTGCTTAGGTTAGTCCAGTCTCTTTAAGCCAATGTTGGATGTGCTCAAGTTGGTCCAGTATCTTTAGGCCACTGTTGAATGTGCTCAAGTTGATCTAGTATCTGTAGGCTACTGTTGGATGTGCTCATGTTGGTTCAGTATCCTTAGGCCAATGTTGAATGTGCTTAAGTTGGTCCAGTCTCTTTAGGCCAATGTTGGTTGTGCTCATGTTGGTTCAGTATCTTTAGGCCAATGTTGGATGTGCTCAAGTTGGTCTAGTATCTTTAGGCCAATGTTGAATGTGCTCAGGTTGGTCCAGTCTCTTTAGGCCAATGTTGGATGTGCTTAGGTTAGTCCAGTCTCTTTAAGCCAATGTTGGATGTGCTCAAGTTGGTCCAGTATCTTTAGGCCACTGTTGAATGTGCTCAAGTTGATCTAGTATCTGTAGGCTACTGTTGGATGTGCTCATGTTGGTTCAGTATTTTTAGGCCAATGTTGAATGTGCTCAAGTTGGTCCAGTCTCTTTAGGCCAATGTTGGTTGTGCTCATGTTGGTTCAGTATCTTTAGGCCAATGTTGGATGTGCTCAAGTTGGTTCAGTATCTTTAGGCCAATGTTGGATGTGCTCAAGTTCGTCCAGTATCTTTAGGCCACTGTTGAATGTGCTCAAGTTGGTCTAGTATATTTAGGCCAATGTCGGATGTGCTCAAGTTGGTCCAGTATCTTTAGGCCACTGTTGGATGTGCTCAAGTTGGTCCAGTATCCTAAGGCCACTGTTGGATGTGCTCAAGTTGGTCCAGTATCCTTAGGCCACTGTTGGATGTGCTCAAGTTGGTCCAGTATCCTTAGGCCACTGTTGGATGTGCTCAAGTTGGTCCAGTATCCTTAGGCCACAGTTGGATGTGCTCAAATTGGTCCAGTATCCTAAGGCCACTGTTGGATGTGCTCAAGTTGGTCCAGTATCCTTAGGCCAATGTTGGATGTGCTCAAGTTGGTCCAGTATCCTAAGGCCACTGTTGGATGTGCTCAAGTTGGTCCAGTATCCTTAGGCCAATGTTGGATGTGCTCAAGTTGGTCCAGTATCCTAAGGCCACTGTTGGATGTTCTCAAGTTGGTCCAGTATCCTAAGGCCACTGTTGGATGTGCTCAAGTTGGTCCAGTATCCTTAGGCCACTGTTGGATGTGCTCAAGTTGGTCCAGTATCCTAAGGCCACTGTTGGATGTGCTCAAGTTGGTCCAGTATCCTTAGGCCACTGTTGGATGTGCTCAAGTTGGTCCAGTATCCCAAGGCCACTGTTGGATGTGCTCAAGTTGGTCACAGCATTAAGCTATGACAACAAGTTTAATCTATGATAAGCCATTGTCATTATTCCTCCAAATGTGTCTACAAGATGGTCAACACTTCCATACATTGATGATATGCCCTACTTATCTCACTATGGGTATTGAGCAGAGAAGAGTGTCTACAAAAATGTTACAAAACAGCCTTATTCATAAAAACACCCATCGAGTCCATTAACAATTCCTATGATATGAAAAATGCTTTCATATAGTGGTGATAGAGGTTGGTGAAAAAGTGGGAATTCCTGCCTTTATTGGCACCAAACACATGCAAAAACAAGTCGAGTGTTCACAATACAAAACATGATGACACGTGGTACATATCGAAAGAGGAACTCACATAGGGGTTATCTCCCATTTGACAGACACCCAATTTGCAGACACTGAACTAGAAGGTGAATTAGGGTAACACCTACGGGTATAATGGAACAGTCCACTGTCTAGTGAGTAGAGCAGGGTGAGCCTGAAACAGGTTCGTTACTGAGAAGTTTCATTGTGGGTAAATAGAACTTTGTTGTGATTAAATGATAAATGATTTCTATTCGCAAAATTGATTTTACTACCAATTACTATCGAATATAAAAACAGGTTTGTCACTGAGAGGTTTGATTGTGTTTATTGATAGAAAAGACCCCTCCAAATAATAGCATATGTACAACAGAAGTTAACTGAGAAAACGTTTTGTTAGAGAGATATAGATATGTACATATTTGAAAACATTCTGATTTGCAGTAAATGAGACACCTGCATTGCCATGTAAGATACGATTAATACCAATCAGTGTTCTAATTTTAAAAATACTGTTTAAGATTGTAACAGTTATGTTTTTGAGTAGTAATACAATGGACACAATAATAATAATTGGCTTGTATAGCGCCTAGTTTCCATCGTTAAAAACACAGTAAGTGTGAAAAGAGTTCGTTCAAAGAAGTATTGAAAAACATTCTCACATCCATGGCCACATTGACATGATGCGTCATATTTTTTTAATATTTATTCTAAATAAATCGTAATTAAGTGCACTTGTCATATATCTTAATATTGTGTGCAAAACATATGACTTCTTTATTCCATATAAATAATAATAAGGTTCACATTTGTCTTTATTTGATTTATATGATACATAAGTGTCGCAATTTCTAATAGATAAGCTAATGTTTTCAATCTGATGATGCCGACTCCCGTTAGACTAGAAGGGTAAACCGAAATGTTTGTGAAAATAAACTGTTTTTATGTTGCAGCAGTAAAAGTTCAAATTGCTGTCGTTTTGTCCATCTTTTGAAATAAATAATATAGCTTCAGTTTGTTCCTGTGTTATTATTTGGACTATTTCATTATAATGTGTAGGTAACAGGTAGTAGATAATCTGTTCACTGGACCGTAAATATTGTTGTTTTAAGGTGTCTGTGAACTGGCTGTCTGCGTAATGGGAGGACACCCACATAGGACAACATGTTTGTCACTGATGCATGAAATTATGGAATATCCTCTCCATCTACTATGAATATTTCTGAAAGCTTTACTGAGGCCCTAAATGTTCTAACCCTGATCTAACAACTTTTGAGCAAGAGTATTAATCTATGTTGAAATAATTCAGGAAGTTGTATCCCCTGCAATTAGCGAGTGAGTGAGTATGGTTTTATGCTGCTTTTAGCAATATTCCAGCAATATCACAGCGGGGGACACCAGAAATGGGGTTCACACATTGTACCCATGTATGGAATCGAGACTGGGTTTTCAGCATTGCAAGAGGACGCTTTAACCATTAGGCTACCCGATCACCCTGTCCCATGCAATGATGCTGACAGACATGACAAATGTTAAAGTCACTGTACCAGGTATTACCCTCCTAAAACAAATATTATCTCACTGAAAACTACAATGCATTTTGCAAATCAGTGGTCAAAAGCATGTAGTACTCTTTACAACAGACTGGTACTCCAGAACATAGTTCCATCAGACATTTTCACTGCTGTATAGTACAGCCATTGTTCCCCACACTGTTGTGATAGTATTACACCACTTGACAACAGCTGCAATAGTTCAACCAGCGGTATGATATTAATGATGAATGTAGTGAGTTGGACTCAACTCGGATTCTAACAGGATTTGAGTTCTATCACCATGGGTCAACTAGAGCTAAACCCTCAGCTACTTTATATATCTGTCTGTTGGGTTGTTGTTTAATGCTGCACTCGGAAATATTCCACCTATATGGCGGTGGTCAGTAAATAATCCAGTCTGACCAGACAATCCAGTGATCATCATCATGAGCATCGATCTATGCAACTGAGATACGATGACATGTGTCAACAAAGTCAGCTAGCCTAACCACCCCATCCCGTTAGTCGCCTCTTATAACAAGCATGGGTTGCTGAAGACCAATTCTAACACAGATCTTCATGTGTTAAACCCTCAGTTTATGCATGTCTAACACAGATCTTCATGTGTTAAACCCTCAGTTTATGCATGTCTAACACAGATCTTCATGTGTTAAACCCTCAGTTTATGCATGTCTAACACAGATCTTCATGTGTTAAACCCTCAATTTATGCACGTCTAAGGTGCTGACAGACCAAGAAACATTATTATTTTGATTAAGAAATTTGAACCAACAATCAGATTTCTAGAATGTCCAAGTGTTGCTTTTCAATGTAATATAAATGAAAAAAGTGTTGCACCAAATGTAAAAGTTGCCTATTTTCCTCCCTGCTGTTACTCAAATTAAAGGCAATAACTGTAAATGGAAATTTTCATAATCCTTGCTAACCCACACAAAGCAGGTTTGAAATTCAACTCTGAAGAGATTTTTGATGAATAATTGTTTTACCTGTAACTAATTGTGATTATTGAAACTATTGTCAGCCATACAACTTACAATACTGTTAGTTTTATCAATTTATATCCCAGATGGGGATAATTCCTTTGAGGGTCAGATAATAGAAAATATAAACCAGAAAATAGATAAACGATGATGCATATGAGAGTAAGGTTTTGTGACACTTTTAGAAATATTCATGCAATATGACAGCAGGGGACACCAGAAATGGGCTTCAGACCGTGGTCTTTGGAGTGAAAAGTATAACCCCTAGATTATCCTACTGACCTAACTGATAATATGAGTTATAGCAATATAACCCAGATGATAGGATAAAAGAATACACCTATGTGGGATACATTATCTGGTAACATAACCCAGATGATAGGTAATTGACAATGAGGCTTAGGTGTCTGGTAACATAACCCAGATGATAGGTAAAAGGAATCCCTCTGAGAGTTAGATATACATGGAAATATATACAGATGATGGGTAAAAATAATCCCTTTGAGTGAGTGAGTGAGTGAGTATAGATTTACGCCGCTTTTAGCAATATTCCAGCAATATCACGGCGGGGGACACCACAAATGGGCTTCACACATTGTATCCATGTGAGGAATCGAACCCGGGTCTTCGGCGTGTCGAGCCAACGGTCTAACCAATAGGCTACCACACCGCCCCCAATCCCTCTGAGAGTTAGGTATACCGGTACATGAAATATAACCTAGATGATAGATAAAATAATCCTTCTAAGAGTTTTATTTAAATGGAAATAAAACTCAGATGATAGGTAAAAATAATCCCTCTGAGAACTAGATATCTGGAAATATAATTCATATAAGTTGGTAATATACACCAAAGAGGGTAGAAGATTGGAAAAATTCAAGTTCCTTTTGAGAATGCCATTTTTTAAAGATTTCTTAAAAGATACCTCATGCTGCCATCACAAACAAATCATGAATTACAACATTTGAAACACATAAAACATAGGCACATATATGACATTAAGAACAAAAGAAACACACCTACATATTGAATGTTTTACAACATGGATGACAAATATAAGATAACTACTTTTCACATAGTAATGCACAGAAGCCAAGGAGCTCACATAACAAGCAGACTATTGCCACTGAAAGCCATTCCAAATTAGTGTCAGCATTCTCGCTACTTGATGTCATAACAAGAGAAACTTCCCACACCTTTCCAGTATTCGATGCAAAAACAGTCACCACAAGTTGCTCTAGAGAAACATTTTGGTTACAAATTTGTAATTACATGAATACCACTAAAAGATTTTGTATCATTTTTGTGCAGGTAGGAGCAATTACACAAATGACCTAGTATGGAGCACATACTGTTTGAAATGTATCTTAAAATAACATGTTTTGTCCTTGCCATTAATTCCTCTCATGACGTTCAATGGGTTTCAGATGAGCAAAGACAAAACCCCATTCTTGTCAATGCATGAATGTATTTGTGATTCAAACCATTTTCCACAAATTCATTATTTTCATCTAATAGGTTAATGAATTGAACTGAAACAGACTCCCTTGTCAGTTACGTGGGTATATCAACAAAACATCACCGAAAATGAAAAGCCAATGTCTGCACTAATTCTGAGTAGTGAGAGAAGGATGGAAATCATGAATTTCTTCTCCAATTTTTCACAATATATAATGTGAGACAAGGCGAACATGTTGTATGGCAGTCTCCCGGCACACAGTATTACATTGGAATGACTCTCAGATGCCTACTAGTGTTAGTTGGCAGCCATGGTAACATTGTGCAGGCATGTTGCTTGACTGGCACTCATCACACACGCACCTTTCACACATACACACACACTCTCTCTCTCTCACACACACACGCTCACATTCACACACATTCTCACACATACACACATAAAAACGACATGCCAGACTGTCGCACCGCCAAGAGGCCCACCTGAGCAGTGGTATGTGTTCGCACTCGCAGCAATGGCCCTTCATTTTCATTTTCACGACCTTCTCAAACGGGACAGGGACGTGAGGGATATGTTCTAAAAATTAGGCAAAGAAGAAAACACGCATTTTCAAAAACATTTATGACTATTTCCTGTTCAAAACTTATCTCATCACCTGAATCAGACAATAATAATGATATGATGTATTACTGCAATGTGCATATGACTTTAAAGCTGAAACATTAAGTGACACTGTGGAAGGGTCCCGCAGAAAACATCATGCATACAATACTTGAATTGCATCCAGCATCAACTAGAAACTAAAACAATAAATAATATACAAGTAATGTTCAATTTTAATAGTTATACAATGACCCAAAATATCAAATACAAGAGTGAATCAGACCAAGTGAAATAGGAATTTAAAGAGGTTTCATAATAAGCCTGGTAGCTGCTCAAACAATACCAAGCTTGTGCATTTACTAATAAATGAAAGGCAGATTCTATAAGCAAGACAAAAGACTAATCAGTATGAAAAACCACATGCAAAACAAGAAGAGATATGTAAATGTGAACTATGTGTATTTGTGTGTTAAAGTGCATAAACTACCGGTAGATAGAGAGAGAGAGAGTGAATGGAACATTATTCCACTTGTCACAGCCTGTCAGCTCCATATTGGAGGAAAGCCTGATCTGGCGCCAGTCTCACATGTTTACCATTTTGGTGAAACCGACATGCACAGGTTTGGTGCCGACAAACGTAGAAACATAATTGAGGTGAACTGGAGATTGAACCCGCAGCAAATTATTGTGTACATTAGGTAGAGGAATATCTTAGTTTATCTTCTATAGTCTTCCCACTTTGGGTACCTGTATCCCTGTATCATTCTTTGTAGAGGTATTAACATGCGATAACCTATTTCTCAGACTCTAAAAATGGAAATGTGCATTGATATCCAACATGAAAGATGATTTGAAGTCAATTTCTGTGCATATCACGTGACAAAGATCCTCCTACATGTTGTAAATACAAGTGATTTTCCTTAAATAACCAACATCAGGAACATCTAGTAAGAGCAATAGGAGACTCGAGTCTCATGAACATGTTTTTTGAAAGGATTAGCTCAAGTGAACTCAGATCTGGAGAACATTTGGTTCAGTAGAGTCAAATGGTTTCAGCATACACAAAACTACAGAAACGTTTTTCATTGGCATCAAAGTCTGGCAGTTAATTTCACCTATGAAGCAAACTACTTGTTTGGTAAATGGCTACAAGAACACAGCTTTATTTGAAGAAATTCCTAGGTTTCTTTATCCAGGAAATGGTTCTGTTTAGAATTTGGGACAATGGCAAATGTAGACAGACAATTTTCTTTATCGTAAAATGTCTTGGATAAAAATGTCTGTGGGGGTCATATATTGATAACTATGAAACTGTAAAACGTCAAGTATAATGCTGGCTTGTTTCTGGTCAATTTAAGTCAGGCATCACAGACACTTTTTTTGTTAAAAAAGTGCAAGATGAGCAAATGTTTTTGTTCCCTATAAGAAGAGTCAGAGTTAACAGAAATATGACCAAACTGTTACCTTGTTTCCTTTGTAACTATATTTGTAACAAAATTACACACCATGCCAAGTCCAGATATACTTGACATCTCATGTGTGTCAGTGCTTCAGCAAGTGGACCAAAGGATTGCAACAAAAGCCAGATGTACGTTATCAATATTTTGATTTCATTGGAATGTCATCCAAGGAATAGACCTATGAATCTGTAAGTATATTTGTTGTGACATATTTGATTTAAAAGACACTTGTATTCCTTTGTATTATCTTTTGCATATGCAGATCCAACTTTCTACATACAAAAGTAAACATTATGATTTAAAGTTAGCATGGTCAGTTGCTAACATTCTGTAGCCATGGATACAGGGGAGATAATGACTGAAGAGAAAAATCACTTCCCTATATTTTGTCAATCTAAAAGAAGAGCATTATTTGTGAATGAATTTCTGAGTAGATTTTATGTTAAACAATACAAGCAACAATGAAGCATGTTATATCCCCCTTCCCTAAATATTCTAGAAAAAAAATTGCTGCATTGTGTCATTTGACAAGCATATGGTAGTAAACTGGTATTCAGGTAAGCACTGCAAGGCACAAGCAAGCAAGTCATGCAGAAATACCCCTTTTCTTTCGTTTATTTTTTCAGCAATATCATAGAAATGACCTTGACATCTAATAGTAATCACAATGTATTAGTATTTTCACTGAACATCATGTACTGACTATCACATCCAAAAATATAACTTTACTACTGCTTGACGAGTAATTGTTCAATCAATTTAGTACTTACTATCAAGCTATTGTGCCTATGCTGTTGGTCCATGTACTGGCGCAGCAATAACAACACTCAATTGTTAGAGTGATATATGTGAGAGTGTACACGACACAGCCCATGCAAGACATCAAGCACTGCCAGTAATAACACCCGCCCGGGGGCTAGTCCAGTTCTCTGAATCAGTGAACAATGGAGTGAGAGTACAGGCTAGCCAGGTCACTATGTAGGACCCCAGGTAAGTGAGGCTGTCTGCCTTGCCTGGCTCAGTGTACAGTTTAGTGAGAAGCTCCAGTGTACCATTGCTGTCTGCCTTGCCTGGCTTAATGAAGTGAAAGACTCCAGTGTAGCGAAGCTGTCTGCCCTGTCTGGCTTAATGAAGTAGAAGACTCCAGTGTAGCAAAGCTGTCTGCCCTGTCTGGCTTAGTGAAGTGAATGACTCCAGGCTAGCGAAGCTGTCTGCCCTGTCTGGCTTAGTGAAGTGAATGACTCCAGTGTAGCAAAGCTGTCTGCCCTGTCTGGCTTAGTGAAGTGAATGACTCCAGTGTAGCAAAGCTGTCTGCCCTGTCTGGCTTAGTGAAGTGAATGACTCCAGGCTAGCGAAGCTGTCTGCCCTGTCTGGCTTAGTGAAGTGAATGACTCCAGGCTAGCGAGGCTGTCTGCCCTGTCTGGCTTAATGAAGTAGAAGACTCCAGTGTAGCAAAGCTGTCTGCCCTGTCTGGCTTAATGAAATGAATTACTCCAGGCTAGGCTTAGTGAAGTGAAAGCTCCAGTCTGTCTGCCCTGTCTGGCTTAATGAAATGAATTACTCCAGGCTAGCTGACTCCAGGCTAGCTGTCTGCCCTGTCTGGCTTAGTGAAGTGAATGACTCCAGGCTAGCAAAGCTGTCTGCCCTGTCTGGCTTAGTGAAGTGAAAGACTCCAGGCTAGCAGAGCTGTCTGCCCTGTCTGGCTTATTGAAGTGAATGACTCCAGGCTAGCTGTCTGCCCTGTCTGGCTTAGCTGTCTGCCCTGTCTGGCTTAGTGAAGTGAATGACTCCAGGCTGGCTTAGAAGCTGTCTGCCCTGTCTGGCTTAGTGAAGTGAAAGACTCCAGGCTAGGGAGAGCTGTCTGCCCTGTCTGGCTTATTGAAGTGAATGACTCCAGGCTAAGGGAAGCTGTCTGCCCTGTCTGGCTTAGTGAAGTGAATGACACCAGGCTAGGGAAGGCTAGGTCTGGCTGTCTGCCCTGTCTGGCTTAATGAAGCAGAAGACTCCAGGCTAGCAAAGCTGTCTGCCCTGTCTGGCTTAATGAAGTGAATGACTCCAGGCTAGGGAAGCTGTCTGCCCTGTCTGGCTTAGTGAAGTGAATGACTCCAGGCTAGGGAAGCTGTCTGCCCTGTCTGGCTTAGTGAAGTGAAAGACTCCAGGCTAGGGAAGCTGTCTGCCCTGTCTGGCTTAGTGAAGTGAATGACTCCAGGCTAGGGAAGCTGTCTGCCCTGTCTGGCTTAATGAAGTGAAAGACTCCAGGCTAGCCGAAGCTGTCTGCCCTGTCTGGCTTAGTTAAGTGAAAGACTCTGCAGGCTAGCTGGCTAGCTGTCTGCCCTGTCTGGCTTAGTGAAGTGAATGACTCAGGCTAGGGAGCTGTCTGCCCTGTCTGGCTTAGTGAAGTGAAAGACTCCAGGCTAGGGAAGCTGTCTGCCCTGTCTGGCTTAGTGAAGTGAATGACTGCCAGGCTAGACGGAGCTGTCTGCCCCTGTCTGGCTTAGTGAGTGCTTAGTGAAGTGAAAGACTCCAGGCTAGGGAAGCTGTCTGCCCTGTCTGGCTTAGTGAAGTGAAAGACTCCAGGCTAGGGGAGCTGTCTGCCCTGTCTGGCTTAGTGAAGTGAAAGACTCCAGGTAAGCCATGCTGTCTGCCCTGTCTGGCTTAGTGAAGTGAAGCCATGCTGAAAGACTCCAGGTAAGCCATGCTGTCTGCCCTGTCTGGCTTAGTGAAGTGAAAGACTCCAGGCTAGACGGAGCTGTCTGCCCTGTCTGGCTTAGTGAAGTGAATGACTCCAGGTAAGCCATGCTGTCTGCCCTGTCTGGCTTAGTGAAGTGAAAGACTCCAGGTAAGCCATGCTGTCTGCCCTGTCTGGCTTAGTGAAGTGAAAGACTCCAGGTAAGCCATGCTGTCTGCCCTGTCTGGCTCAGTGGACAGTTTAGTGAGAAGCTCCAGTGTTGCTGTCTGCTTTGTTTGGCTCAATGCATAGTGGAGTGATGGACTCCAAGAGAGTCCAGATCTGAATTCATGTGAAGAAATAACAAACACTGGTCTTCACATTTTATGGCAATTCAGAGTGTTTCCTGAATGTATTTGCTTACACCTGCTATGACTTCAGAATCAGGCTTAAGTTCTTGAAACATTTACTTTACAATGAAAGGAACTGTAATGCCAAATTTTACTATTTGTTAAAGTTATGAAAAGAACAGTTATCCATGTATTTGTCCACTGGTTGTTTGTGAACAGTTTAATTGTAGTGTGGACTAGATTCCATTATCAACTGGATTACCATGCAAGTTTCAAACTGACTGGGATTAAATCCATAATATATCACATAATATATCACAGGAAGCGACAATGGCCCACTCAGCTACTGAATAACCCTATTTATATGATGTGAAACATCAATGGGTCATAAAGAGAATGAATAGCCCCATACACTTAACATGTGGCATCAACGGGCCACTAAGCTACTGAATAACCCCATACATTTGACATGAAGCATCAATATCCACCCTGGTGAATAGCCGCATACATTCAGTCTGAAGCATCAAGGGGCTACTAAGCTACTGAACAACCCCATACGTTTGACATGAAGCATCAATATCCACCCTAGTGAATAGTCCCATACATTCAGCCTGAAGCATCAACGGGCTACTAAGCTACTGAACAACCCCATACATTTGACATGAAGCATTAATATCCACCCTAGTGAATAGTCCCATACATTCAGCCTGAAGCATCAACGGGCCACTAAGCTACTGAACAACCCCATACGTTTGACATGAAGGATCACTATCCACCCTAGTGAATAGTCCAAAAACATTCAGCCTGAAGCATCAACGGGCCACTAAGCTACTGAACAACCCCATACATTTGACATGAAGCATCAATATCCACCCTAGTGAATAGTCCCATACATTCAGCCTGAAGCATCAACGGGCCACTAAGCTACTGAACAACCCCATACGTTTGACATGAAGGATCAATATCCACCCTAGTGAATAGTCCCATACATTCAGCCTGAAGCATCAACGGGCCACTAAGTTACTGAACAACCCCATACGTTTGACATGAAGGATCAATATCCACCCTGGTGAATAGCCGCATACATACAGCCTGAAGCATCAACGGGCCACTAAGCTACTGAATAACCCCATACATTTGACATGAAGCATCAATCTCCACCCTAGTGAATAGTCCCATACATACAGCCTGAAGCATCAACGGGCCACTAAGCTACTGAATAACCCCATACATTTGACATGAAGCATCAATACCCACCCTAGTGAATAGCCGCATACATTCAGCCTGAAGCATCAACGGGCCACTGAGCTACTGAACAACCCCATACGTTTGTCATGAAGCATCAATATCCACCCTAGTGAATAGCCGCATACATTCAGCCTGAAGCATCAACGGGCCACGAAGCTACTGAACAACCCCATACTTTTGACATGAGGGATCAATGGTCCACATAGCTACTATTAATCCCATAACAGGACTGACTGACTGACTGACTGACTGACTGACTGAGTTTAGTTTTAAGCCGCTTTTAGCAATATTCCAGCAATATCACGGCGGGGGACACCAGAAATGGGCTTAACAAATTGTGCCCATGTAGGGAATCGAACCCGGGTCTTCGGCGTGACGAGCCAACGCTTTAACCACTAGGCTACCCCACCGCTCCCCATAACAGGAAGCATCAACAGATAACTAAGAATAATCCCATACATTTAGCAGGAAGCATCAATGGGAAACTCAGCTACTGACCAACCCCATACATTTAACAGGAAGCATCACTTGTCTATCCAGCTACTGAATAACCCAAAACACTTAGCAGGAAGCATCAATGATCTATATAGCTACAACCAAACATGTGTTACTACATCCAGCAATCCTTGTGGCCTGCTTTTCTCAAGGAAATCCCAACCCGAGTAAGCTCCATTGCAAATGCCGTAGCCATCTTCGATAACATGCATGGTGTCAATAACAAATAGTTATTGGAACAGGAAAGAGTGTTGAAAAACAGAGTAAATGTACAAAAATGAAATTGAGAACATGAAAAAAGATACATTTCAGATATATTTAATATAAACTGGATAGGAACAATTCTCTTGGCATATTAGAAGGTATTTATTTTTTAAATAGAGATCACATGTCTTGGTTGAGATTAGACACAAGACGAAAGTAGTGTGTCAGTCCCTCCTTTAGACAACAAGTTTGTACAAGCACTGTGCCAACAGTGCCCTCCCATGCTGCTAGTCACATCACTGGAGTACTAGGAACTATTTCACAGGATATTATGACAGATCAAAGACGAGAGTGCTGGGTTACACAGAGGTCCACTATGTCATCCCTTCTTACTAATACATGCACGAACTAACAAGCAGGATCTTCTAGGTCATGCTAAGGACTGTTCTGTAGTAATGTTCCCCATCCATAAAAAGGACTGAACAAAATCTTTCAAATGCAATGGATACAAAGTAATTTTAATCAATTCACAAGATAGCAAACCAAAATAAGTAATTCATATAAAAGAAAAAGGAGAGTCCCTACACCTGAATCTCACACACCTATCGAGTTATACACAGTAATAGTCAATCCAAACAGCCAGTCACAACACATACCTGTCAACTAGTCTTTGAAGGTGCTGACATACTACATCCAGAGGACCATACCTGCCACCTTGTTCTGGAAGATGCTGATTTACCACAACCAGAGGACCATACCTGCCAGAGGACCATACCTGCCACCTTGTTCTGGAAGGTGATGATTTACCACAACCAGAGGACCATCCCTGCCACCTTGTTCTGGAAGATGTTGATTTACCACAACCAGAGGACCATACCTGCCACCTTGTTCTGGAAGATGCTGATTTACCACTTACAGAGGACCATACCTGCCACCTTGTTCTGGAAGGTGCTGATTTACCACAACCAGAGGACCATACCTGTCACCTTGTTCTGGAAGGTGCTGATTTACCACAACCAGAGGACCATACCTGCCACCTTGTTCTGGAAGATGCTGATTTACCACAACCAGAGGACCATACCTGTCACCTTGTTCTGGAAGGCACTGATTTACCACAACCAGAGGACCATACCTGTCACCTTGTTCTGGAAGGTGCTGATTTACCACAACCAGAGGACCATACCTGTCACCTTGTTCTGGAAGATGCTGATTTACCACAACCAGAGGACCATACCTGTCACCTTGTTCTGGAAGGCACTGATTTACCACAACCAGAGGACCATACCTGCCAGAGGACCATACCTGCCACCTTGTTCTGGAAGGTGCTGATTTACCACAACCAGAGGACCATACCTGTCACCTTGTTCTGGAAGATGTTGATTTACCACAACCAAAGGACCATACCTGCCACCTTGTTCTGGAAGATGTTGATTTACCACAACCAGAAGACCATACCTGTCAACTTGTCCTGGAAGATGCTGATTGATTGAGTCAGACTTCACATACCTGCCGATTTGTCCTGGAAGTAAGCAAGTAGACAGCGGGCAACAGCCTGGTGACACACAACCAACACATTTTCCTGTCTCTCCAGTTCCTGCAACATCAACATGGTTTGACTTAACAAAACAAAGTCCACATGCCTCAGTTTCAAAATCAATAACTTCAACAGGCACCATGCCAAATACCAACAAGCAGTCTATATGATAAGACTTTCTTGTACAGGTTACAGTGAATTCACCACTGGTATACTTGGTTGTATACTAACCTGTTCTTTTTCTTTGTAAGGCAAGGGTAAGTCATATATGCTAGCACACCAGCTGCTTTCACATGCACAGGGTTCAACAAACATATTTTGTCAGGCTACCAACCAGTATCAAAGATTAATCATCAGTTCCACAGAAAAATGGACTGTGAACTACCAAAAAGCACAATTATTATAAAAAGTTGTATTTTTATGGTGTCACTTAGCGTGATGACAACACATTCAGCCCTAACTGGTTCACCTAGTGTGATGACAACATCTAACTGGTTCACCTAGAGTGATGACAACACATTCAGCCCTAACTGGTTCACCTCGTGTGATGACAACATCTAAATGGTTCACCTAGAGTGATGACAACACATTCAGCCCTAAATGGTTCACCTCGTGTGACGACAACATCTAACTGGTTCACCTAGTGTGATGACAACACATTCAGCCCTAACTGGTTCACCTAGAGTGATGACAACACATTCAGCCCTAAATGGTTCACCTAGAGTGATGACAACACATTCAGCCCTAAATAGTTCACCTAGAGTGATGACAACACATTCAGCCCTAAATGGTTCACCTAGAGTGATGACAACACATTCAGCCCTAAATGGTTCACCTAGAGTGATGACAACACATTCAGCCCTAAATGGTTCACCTAGAGTGATGACAACATCTAACTGGTTCACCTAGTGTGATGACAACATCTAAATGGTTCACCTAGTGTGATGACAACACATTCAGCCCTAACTGGTTCACCTAGAGTGATGACAACACATTCAGCCCTAACTGGTTCACCTAGAGTGATGACAACACATTCAGCCCTAAATGGTTCACCTAGAGTGATGACAACACATTCAGCCCTAAATGGTTCACCTAGAGTGATGACAACACATTCAGCCCTAAATGGTTCACCTAGTGTGATGACAACACATTCAGCCCTAACTGGTTCACCTAGTGTGATGACAACACATTCAGCCCTAAATGGTTCACCTAGAGTGATGACAACACATTCAGCCCTAAATGGTTCACCTAGAGTGATGACAACACATTCTAACACCTAGCCCTAACATGGTTCACCCTAGTGTGATGACAACACATTCAGCCCTAACTGGTTCACCTAGTGATGACAACATCTAACTGGTTCACCTAGTGTGATGACAACATCTAACTGGTTCACCTAGTGTGATGACAACATCTAACTGGTTCACCTAGTGTGATGACAACATCTAACTGGTTCACCTAGTGTGATGACAACATCTAACTGGTTCACCTAGAGTGATGACAACACATTCAGCCCTAAATGGTTCACCTAGAGTGATGACAACACATTCAGCCCTAAATGGTTCACAGACATTCAGCCCTAAATGGTGATGACAACACATTCAGCCCTAAATGGTTCACCTAGAGTGATGACAACACATTCATCTAAATGGTTCACCTAGTGTGATGACAACACATTCAGCCCTAAATGGTTCACCTAGAGTGATGACAACACATTCAGCCCTAAATGGTTCACCTAGAGTGATGACAACATCTAACTGGTTCACCTAGTGTGATGACAACACATTCTAAATGGTTCACCTAGTGTGATGACAACACATTCAGCCCTAAATGGTTCACCTAGTGTGATGACAACACATTCAGCCCTAAATGGTTCACCTAGAGTGATGACAACACATTCAGCCCTAAATGGTTCACCTAGAGTGATGACAACACATTCAGCCCTAAATGGTTCACCTAGTGTGATGACAACACATTCAGCCCTAAATGGTTCACCTAGAGTGATGACAACACATTCAGCCCTCTAATGACAACATGGTTCACCTAGTGTGATGACAACACATTCAGCCCTAAATGGTTCACCTGGTGATCACACATTCAGCCCTAAATGGTTCACCTAGTGTGATGACAACACATTCAGCCCTAAATGGTTCACCTAGTGTGATGACAACACATTCAGCCCTAAATGGTTCACCTAGTGTGATGACAACACATTCAGCCCTAAATGGTTCACCTAGTGTGATGACAACACATTCAGCCCTAAATGGTTCACCTAGTGTGATGACAACACATTCAGCCCTAAATGGTTCACCTAGTGTGATGACAACACATTCAGCCCTAAATGGTTCACTTTCTGTATAGAAATCTTCCACTATTGCTGCTTACATTTTATCAAATACTCACCAGTATCACAGGTTCCAGGCGGGCAACCAGGTCTTGGTAAGACTGTCAAGTAAAGGTAGAAGCAAATTAGACCTCATAACCAAGGAAAGAAATACAGAGATTCCTCAAGATTTTAAAATTTTCAGTTCTTTTTATTTCTGAACAGGTATTGTGTACAGAGTTAATGAGGTAATATTCACCAAGTCCATGAAACAATTCTATGGGATGTGCCAGAATAAAGCACCATAGCTCACCTCCCCACTGGGGTAGCGGTAATGGAACTTGTCTTGGTCCCGCAGAGCAAAATCCTCAGGGTATTTCTCCTGGATCTCCTCGTAGGTCATCCCTTCACAGATACCCTGCACAGATCAGATACATTTAGAACAGGCACTAACTGAAGATCATGGAGGACATGGTTGATTTATTGATTTCATGTCCTTAACCTTTCAAGCTAATGTTCCCCTACTGGTGCTTGTTTGAAACTTTGTCGAAATTTGTCCACACAAAATTCAGCTAAACACAGATGCCAACTCCAATTTGGTGCAATTAGGAATCTGAGCTCCCTAAGATAGAAAAAATGAGGAATTTTCCCAACAAATTAGGGATCCCTATAAATTGTTGCATTCAAGGAACGACTTTTCAATGCCATTACACAGAGATCCTTATACAACTGAAATCGGTTTGGCAGTACTCGGCAGCAGTGTTTGTGAATGTTAAGTGAATAAAATGTGAATAACATAAACAGTGTGAGGAATTTATCAGGCAGCCTTCTCAACTACTGGATTACCTTGTATGTGTAAACAATTTGAGAACTTCTGTAAATAAAGTGATGTATTTATTTGATTATCATTATTTATAATCAAAGATGATCCTAGCCCTCCAGTAAGTAAGACTATCTATATCTTTGTTATATTTTGAAAAAAATCGGAATGAATTTGGCTTTGTCGGGATGGCGGAATCGACATGCATTTTTCAGGATGATTTCGATAATTTCGGGAGGGTTGGCATCTCTGGCTATATTCTAGCTATATGACAGCAGACTGTAAATGATGGAGTGTGGATCAGAACATCCAGTGATTGACATTGTGAGCACTTATCCACACTGATACGTACAGTAACATGCCACCAACCAAGTGACCATTGCTGACTATCTGACTAACAGAGGCTTTGAATGGCATTAAGACTGCTCAGCTCTTACAACCAGCATAGTTTGGTGGGGACCAACTCTAATCTGGAATCTCCATGAGAAAAACCTACAAGGACAGTGCTAACAAATCAATGGCCATTATCTGGGTGACCATGAGATTGAACAAGCACTAGGTCCAAACTCAGACTTTATGATGACAAGAGAACAAACCGCATCTATCTCATTGAGGGCCTTCCAGTGCTCCTTTGACGCCTCAATGAACTTGGCAGTCTGGATTGTCCTCTTCATCTGGGACGTCCACACTTTCAGGTTGGGAATGTTCTCCTTCTCAATGTAGCGTTTCAGAGCTTCTGCATACTGCAAACGGCAAGGACATTCACGTCAATACAGTTGTAGACCATTTCATGTAGGTCTTTCTGATTATGAACTACCTTATGTAACTTTGAGCTATTCAAGCTGACAGAGAAAAGTGAGTGTACATAAGTTTATAAAAGTTATTACAAAAGTAAGGTATCCTCTCAAAAATGTTTCCATGAGGAAGTAATTGATTCTCGTTTTAAAGTGTATGTTTTAGGGTGTGTTTTTGTCAAAAACCATCCTGACTCTGACATATATATTTATCTGCAATAACACCACTGAGGGAGCTAAGATTGGTTGCAGGTTTGCTTTTAACACTGCCATCAGCAAGCTACATAACTGTGTCTGTTCCTGACAATCCATAATTGATGATTAATGAAACTGATGTGCAATCAAGAAAGTCAGGAACATCTGACGGATTAAATCAAGTAGCTTGACAAGCATAGCTTAATCCAGGAACACTGTCCTATCTGGCTGCCCCTTCTATCTAAGTTGTACAATACTTAGATGGGAGTTTAGACTCACGGTCTGGCCTCGCTCTGATATATCGCTGTCTCCTCCAATCCGGCCTTGAAGGTTCATCATGCTTTCTCCATGCTGCAACAAAAACGCAACATCTACATCAACATCTATGGCACCCTGGTCAAACACACCTGCTTAATGATTTGTCTTTAACCAAACACAACTGTTCAGACACAAAGTACTTGGGCATTACAGTAACAGATGTGGTTATGTGGGCTTTAACACTGCATTCAAGATTCTTACACTTGACAAAGATATTATTGCAGTGTGTGGCTGCTAGGACTACTCCTGTACTACACCCCTGTGAGGCACAGACATAAACGAGTGAGCGGGGTCGGATTGTTATTGTTCAGCTCCGTAACAGGCAGTAAATATGTAAGTCTGGATCAAACAATCCAGGGATTGACATTATGAGCATCAATGAATACAACTGGGATATGATGACATGCATCAACCCAGTCAGCAGTCCTCACCACCCGACCCCATCAGTCACCTCTTACAAGAGTGAGTGAGTGAGTGAGTGAGTGAGTGAGTGAGTGAGTGAGTGAGTGAGTGAGTGAGTGAGTGAATATGGTTTATGCCGCTTTTAGCAATATTCCAGCAATATCACGGCAAGGGACACCAGAAATGGAATTCACACATTGTGCCCATATGGGGAATCAAACCCGGGTCTTTGGCGTAACGAGCGGATGCTTTAACCACTAGGCTACCCCACTGCCTGACCTCTGACAAGAAGCATGGGTTGCTGAAGACCAATTCTAACTGGGGCCCTAAGGATTTGGGAGTTTAAACTGCACACCTACACAGCAGATGATACTCCTGACTTACCCTTGTGAGGTAGATGGTCCGAGGAAGAACGTGAATATTCATTAGGTAATACACCACTCTACTCTGTAGATGACCTGAAAACAACGTGTGGTATAGTGCTCAGTGAGAGTTTGTTAACCATTAGGCAGATAGTACTTGCATAATCATAGTGAGCGACTGCATGAACTTACAAGACAAAGGAAATATCATGGGACATTAAAAACGTTATTGCTACTACATCCCATACACCATTTAAAAGATCTAATCCTACTGTTGATAAATATGAAGTTTATTTTTATAATATTATTCAAATAATACAACTACAACTTAAATAAATTTATATTTGAATGAAAATGCAAGCTTACATTTATAACGTCCAGATAAACCACGAAGGAGCAAAAACTATGGCGATTTTTTCCATTTGTGACATGTCATAACATCCCCTGCCTTTTTTCTTTTATATTTTCATTTTACGTAATCAGAAAATTATTATAAAAGATTTCTTAAACAATATGTATGGTCGCCTATTTCCCGATATCTGTGGCTTTCCGCTCGGTAAAATGACATAACAACTGAAAATACCTCCGTTTTGAAGCTTACATTATGAATAACGTAATGCGGCAAATCGTTTGATGTCGGGCATCGCTTCGAAAAGCTCTGAACATCAACAATATCACTGTACCCTTGCCAAGAGTATTTTTCACAGCTGTAAGAAGCGATTTTATTGATAAAGATTGGTTTCTAATGGCGCTTTTTAGCCACAGTCTGCTATAAGGGTCGTGATTGGTCAAAATCAGACACGTGACCTAAGGCAGCCAATCATATTACGGCAATGGATACCGTCCTAAATGGCGAAAACTTTTAGATTTGGACAAAAGTTTTGGGTAAAATAATGCTATTCTGAACATATTAAGCAAGAAATCGCTACCTATAATGTAAATTATGGAACTTATTGGACGTGTCGTGCTGGTTAGGTTATGACCTGTGACAAAAATGCTTCATGTATGTATTTTACGCATTAAACATCGTGTCCGAGCGTGAAGATTGAGGCGGCGAGAGCGAGATGTCACTTGTCAGTGACTTGACTTGCATTACATGATCGCACAAAAGATGGAAATAGAAATTTTATATGCGTTTGACAACTTTATGAATGCTGTTGTTGATTTTATTCATTAGTTTATTCAATTTATTTAATAATTTCCTCGAAACATCGTTATGCCTGGCACATTAAATGACCTGAACAATCAACGAGAGTCAAAGAACAAATCAATCACCTTGTGTTGATAATGCATCAATGTCTAAAACCATGCGAATATCTGGGTGGTGATAAGTGACTGAGACCACATTCACACAGTGAGTCATCTCAACACGGACACTGTAGTATGCTGACCCCAGCTGATTGCTGATGCAGGATGTCACTACCATCTGTCATCAAGGGTAAACAGCTCCCCTTCCTGCTCTTTAACACAGCCCTCAAACAACAATAGAACTATCCTGATCAAAGGCAGTGTGTCTCTTTATATAACAGTGTAGACATCCCTTATATTCCTTGATGTTCCAGCTCATTGAAAAGTAAATAACACAAAAGATATCAAGATGTCCTTGAAAGTTGATTATTTATTGTCACTACTGGATAAAATTGTCTCCATCCAGATTCGCTTCTCGGGTATATCATCGGTGAACCTATTTTCTATTGTTGCAAATTATACTCCTCATCTTCAACCTCTTGTTCAAATATTTTGTTCTTATGACAGCTTGTTGCTCACACATAATCGCTCTTCTATGTATAACCCAACCTCCCTTTTTGGCTACATGACTGTATGTATGATGTACATCCTCCTCCATACACACATATCCTTTTCATGGTATATATACCAACTTCCTTGCACACTCACTGCATATCCTTCTGTGTCAAACAATTTTAAGTACATCCTGGATTTCAGAGAAAGTGAGGCATACTCAAAATGAAGTTGCTTAAATATTTCACAATATATCAGTAAGTACGAATGACATTGGGGGCAAAAGCCAAAAGCATGAAATAAGCCAAAAACCCAGCCAGACATCAGGGCTGGTAACTTCGAAACATTACCAGCCCAAAATGGATTTAACCAGACCAAATATGGTGAATTTACTGAGATATATGGAACATCTACATTTTTTACCAGACCATTGGACTGGCTAGCTGTAAATTTAGACCGTCCATCAGAAATCTAGACCGTCTCGGGCTGTCGGACGGGCCTTATTTCATACACTGCTTACACATAAATGATTGGCTCATGTTGCAATAAGTGTGCTATATTATCATGATATTGTACACTTCTACCTTCAAAAGCAACTGCAAAACACAACACATGATACAAATGATAAGACTTTGTTGCACCTAAACCAGCAAACATTATGCAGCATATGATACTAATATCCTGTCGTTGACTATGTAAAGAGAATATGTAAAATATACATGATTTCTTTAAAATAATTTTATTGTTTATCAAAAGACTAACAAAAAACATTCTCAATCAGAAATCAGGAACTGGTGATTTGGAATAATTCTGAAAGCCTTTATAGTTAGCGTCGCACCTCTTTCTGATTGAAGCACTGCATAATCCTAAACCTAACAACCTATGAAACACTCAACTGGGCTCTTCAAGTGCTGTGGAAACACTCCAGTGTCCCTTCCTGTAACTTCAAGAGGTGAGGTGAAATGGAGATTAATGCTTTGTTGAAGGTTGTTGCACTTACATAGCAGCATCCATGCACTTGTGTGTCTGCTTGCGCTAGTCATGACTAATGCTTGCATTACAGTGATTGCCCATACCATACCACAGTTTAACATCTTTCGCTATGACACGCCAGAGATCAAAGCCCCAACCTTCCAATCACCTAGCAGACACTATCCACTACACCTTTGGACATAGACACTAACTGAATTAAATTATGCACCGGGTTGATGGCCTTGAAATGAAATGATATCTAGAGTTCCCATGATAAACTGTAAAATGTCACTGTACCTGCTAATTTGTTGACTAGGAACCTCTCTCCTTGATTGAATATCTGTATGAATGACAAGTCTCTGTCGTGGCTCCAGTCCAGGGGCTCGTATGTCTCGTTGTAGTGCTCTATACGCTGCATGAAATCCTTCACAGCCTCGTTGGTGTCCATCCCCTTGTAGTCCGGGCTACACACCTTCACTTCCTGTGTACAGTCAGTCAGTTACTTTACTAAAGCTGTCAGCTTTCAGCGCTGTCATCATTGTTCAGCTTATTATGGGAAGGATTTAAAGTTTAGATGGTTACTACTTTTGACACACAGGATTGTGACTGGTTCAAGGAGCCATGGATCAATATTAGGATTCAAAATACAGAATGCTACTGCTGCCTTTGAGCCACCAGTTGTCCACCACTTTGTGAGAGACATGGGTACCCTCTGTGTTAGTTTATGTTCCTCAAGCCAGGCCTTTGGAGTCAGAGATAATCTAACATGGAGGTGCATCAACCCATGTCTCCCAGGAAAACTGTTCATAACAAATTGATCTTTTCGTATACCATATTGACAGTGTGGTTTCTGAACACAGATATTCCTTGGTCCCAATCGGTGAGAATATAACAGTGAGGCATTTATACATGTCTTTCATGTTTAGCTTTCTTTAAAAAATAGCAGACAACAGAAAACAAACTTAAGAGTTATTCCCCTAGATTATTTTAATTTATATTGGGAAAATGGTGTCTTACAATTTGAGAAACAAAATTATGGTCGGTATGTTGCAAATGTAATGCCAACAGTTTAGCAGTTCCTGTGGGCACAATGTTCATAATGTGTTAGCCAGGTTCATTAAAAGTAACAGAAAATCCAACATTCATGTGGAACATAAATGCAAATGAAGTTTGCTTAGTGTTTGGATGTATGTTGAACACTTGACATTATCTACTACAATAATCTTTTGAAACATCCAATAAATTCCCACCACAACTGTCAGTGCATGCAAAATCAGCAAAGGATGGTTATACAAGGGAGATAACTCATATGACACTGAAGAACCAAACACAGCCTTCCAACTCTAATAAACTTCTCATCACACAGACCCAGATCAGTATTTCACAAACAGTATCAGTGTGTTCAAAATGGATCCCAAGGTATACAGTAATATCCTGATTACCCATAATATACTAACATATTTATCACACCAAGACACTGAGCCTATATGCCATATTTCTTCAATTAAACACCTGGGTCTATATACCATATTCCTCCATTAAACACCTGAGTCTATATACCATATTTCTTCAATTAAACACCTGAGTCTATATTCCATATTTCCTCCATTAATCACCTGAGCCTATATACCATATTTCCCCCATTAAACACCTGAGTCTATATTCCATATTTCTTCAATTAAACACCTGAGTCTATATTCCATATTTCTTCAATTAAACACCTGGGCCTATATACAATATTTCTTCAATTAAACACCTGAGCCTATATACCATATTTTTTCAAATAAACACCTGATCCTATAAACCATATTTCTTCGATTGAACCTCCTGGAATATCCATTCCCTTAAGAAGCTCATTACCCCTGGCCTTGAATAACAATGATATTAATGAAGATAATTCTGTGCATAAAAAGTACCAGGCATTCAAGGATGTTGGGGTGCATTATTGAGATCACCACATTATTCAAGATCAAGTGTTTAAATGAGGAAGTATGGTAGTGGTTTTGTACAGCTGGCTCTGTTTGTCCAGGTAGTAGGTAGAAGATTTCCCAGCATCGTTCCCTGTCCTTCTACCTTTATATTGGCCTCCACCACTTCGGGATCATCACAGATGGACTCCACAAAGAACAGCTTGAACTGATGATCCACTGTAAACATGTTGACGAGCATCTTCCTCCTCTCACGGGTCGTGTTGGTCGCATCTACCACCTGCCACAACACACAAATATCACTGAGGTTGGGAAAAAGTCAAAGTTTTTGAATCCACAGACAGTTATATTCAAATAATGTTTTGTAGCATGTAAAAATCAAGTCCAGCTTACAGGCCTACCAAAGAAAACTTTCGCACTGTGCAGGAAAATACTGAATACTCCACATCAATCGTGGAAATAGCAACATAAATATAATACCTCGATACTGAAAAGGTAAAATGTAATTTTTAGAGTAAAATTGATATTTTATACTTATCCTGACTCATGCTTATTGCTTGCTTGTCTTCTTCTTCTTGCGAACATAGTGGAACACTTGTATCTCCCTAATTGAAGTTCCCTTCAATAAAAAATCACTAATTAGTACTCACCACGAGTTACCTCCCTTCCACAAGCTCGGGAACGAGGGCGCCACCTCCACCCATGTGCCTCACTCTCTCCTCATATACTGAGCCCAACATTTGAATTTTCAGGGAAATCCAAAGTGTTATGTGGGGAGGATGGGAGGGCTTACCTCATGAGTCAGGATAAGTATAAAATATCAATTTTACTCTAAAAATTACATATTTTTCCATATCCTGACTCATGCTTATTGCTTGTAGAATCCGACGGAAAAGGAGGTGGGAATATATAATACTTTGGATTTTAATAATTAGTGATTTGAACTGTGATGATTGTAATAACCCTATGGGAACTTCATAAAGGCACTGAACTGATGAATTCCTGCTGCTAACTTATCAGCTGCCATATAAAGGTTATTACAATTTACTTATTATGATAAAAGTATATGGGTCATTCTCAAAAAAAGGCCAAATTCGTACTATGAAAAATATGAAAATACAAAGCATCATACTGAATTATCTCATTATTGTTTTGAATGGTCAACACATATGACATGTTGTGTTACACCACTGATTTTTCTTTACCTCACTCTAAATATAAATCCAAATTAATTGCCTTTAATTGATAATTAACAGATTTAAACAGCTCAACAGCAAATTCTGAACACTCAGATTTTAAAAGGTTTTTAAAAAATAATATACAAAAGCAATAAAATGAACAAATTGTAGTAATATTGTTACACCAATGACATTTTTGTTACACCACTGATTTTTATTGAATTAACTTCAACGATAAATTCAAATTAATTGCCTTTAATTGATCATTAATAGAATTGAACAGCTCAATAGCAACTTTTGAACACTCAGATTTTAAAAGGTTTTTCAAAAATAATATACAAAAGCAATAAAATGAACAAATTGTAGTAATATTGTTACACCAATGACATTTTTGTTACACCACTGATTTTTATTGAATTAACTTCAACGATAAATTCAAATTAATTGCCTTTAATTGATCATTAATAGAATTGAACAGCTCAATAGCAACTTTTGAACACTCAGATTTTAAAAGGTTTTTCAAAAATAATATTAAAAACAATAAAATGAACATATTGTAGTAATACTGTTACACCAATGACATTTTTTGTTACACCACTGATTTTTCTGAACTTTATATACTAATATACCAGAACAAATTACCTTCACAGACTTTACATGAGTTAATGGTCATAAAATATACTGGATAAATACAATGCAAAGCAGTTGAGTTTTGTGAACAAGTGACTTAAATGAACATTTTGTCAGTGGTGTAACAAAAATTGTCAGTGGCGTAACATTTTCCCATGTTATACCACTGACCTATTCCCACTTTTATGAACTTTATAACAATTAAGGCTCCCTAACCATAGACCACCTGGCATAAATGTTGATGTTTTAGCAACTTTGATGAACTTTAAATAAACATTGTTATGAAAAAGAACACATGAATAAGAAATCAACGTTACACCACTGACTTGATAAAAAGTTATGATATGAAGTAGACTCACCAACTGCATCAAACTTCAACATCAAAATAAAATTTGGCCTCCACAAAACTTCTGCCACGAGAAGAAAGTCATCAGCAAAAGGACCATTTAGTGTTTCATATTTTTTACTCAAACGAGATAATTATTAATGTCACATGTTTATATTCATTATACCACTGACTGTGACATTTTGGACAGTCATTGTTTTCAATGTAAATATGTGATTTTCATTTTGTTTTCAATATTTCATGCAGGAATGTGTTTTCAATATTGGTGTTTCATTATAAATCTTTAAAAAATATGTATAAATACCCTGGAATTTAAACTTTATGGTACTGCAAAGTAATGTCGCTGTCCACTGACAGTGGTTTTTCTTTCAAAATGATGATAAAAACCCAATTTTGTCCCAAAAATAACAAACAGGTACACCATTTTACATTATCATGAGAAACAAAATACATTTTTCTTTCATAATATGATTTTTGAAAAAAAATTGAAACAATATTTTCAGAACAATGTGTTACTGACCAAAAGTTGGGCAAATTTTGAGAATGACCCATATATAACATTAATACAATGCTTAAGACTAATAGACTTAAGCTTGTTAATATGATAGCAAAAACTCCTTAGAGTTTATTAGCTAATATACTTTTATGATATAAACATAGTACTGAGCTGAAGATATGATTAAACTTAAGCTATATATATAATAGCAAAACTCTGTAGAGTTTGTTAGCTAATACATTTTATAATGTAACCATAATGCTTAAGATATGATGAAACTTAAGCTAAATATATAATAGCAAAAAACTCTTTAGAGTTTGTTAGCTAATATACTTATATGATATAAACATAGTACTGAGCTTAAGATATGAATAAACTTAAGCTACATATATAATAGCAAAAACTCCGTAGAGTTTGTTAGCTAATATACTTTTATGATATGAGTACAGTACTGTGCTTAAGATATAATTAACTTAAGCTACATATATAATAGCAAAAACTCTGTAGAGTTTGTTAGCTAATACATTTATAATGTAACCATAGTACTGAGCTTAAGATATGATTAACTTAAGCTAAATATATAATAACAAACTCCGTAGAGTTGTTAGCTTATATATTGTATGATATAATAACCATAGTACTGAGCTTAAGATAATAAAAGAACTTAAGCAAAATATATATAGCATGTAGCTATTTAGTACTGTTATAAGATAAGTAGAAATCTGTAAGATTGACTTATCTTCTCCGAGAGGAACTGTCAACTGTTGTGCGAGGACCATGGGACCGAATTGGTGGATACCTGAGACGTCCTCGGTGGTGATATCTCTCAGATAGTGGTTGGCAAACACCATATCGGATCTCCAGAAATAACCCTCCATTATGGTATTACAATCGCACTTGTCGTGAAGAGCAAGTGTAGATGTTAGCTTGTATGAGGATTAGAAGCTCATGAGGCATTAGAAGCTTCTTGGAGGGACTGAATCGAGTCCTGCAGTCTTGTAGGCAACGGTAGTATGACAGTTCTGATCCAAAAGGAGATAGTAGTACAAGAGACTTCAGTCTGCGTAGCTTGTTGATAGAGGAAATAAATCTCTTGAATTTTTCCCTCCTGTTTGGCTCGGTGGAGATATATTTTCAGTGCTCTTACTGGCCATCGTGATAGATTCATCGTATCATGGGGTCCAAGTATATCATCAAAGCGTGTTCATAAACCTCACTTGTGAGGTGTTGGAGCACTATATTCAGATCCCAAGTTGGAGCGTGAAACTTCCGTTTTAATCCTCCAATCGGAAAGCTCGTAGCAAGGCGAGTAACTGGGTTTAGGTTAACTTGACGCCCGTTCTCAGTTATGACAGAGCTATTGCTGCAAGATAGGTGGACAAGTTGAGCCTATTAAAATCTTAGTCTGACGTAGATAACATAAGTAGTCAGCCACTTGAGGATGAGTAGCATATCTAGCTGTAAATCCTTTCTTTGCAGCATAATTGACAAAACTGTGCCATTTGTCATCGTATAAGTTGAGTTACGCAGGGCAAGCTAGACTGCTTTGCCGCTCTGGCTGAATAACCTGTTATTCAGACACGCCTTGATACAATCCATACGTGAAGTTGGAATATTTCTGGCTTTCCGTGCGCTTGTTTGGTGTGTGGATGTATTAACAGATTCGAGCACTCTGTAAGCTGTAGTATTGGTTGTCCGATTTCTTGAATAAGAGTTGGAAACCACGTTCTCGCTGGTCAGTAGGCCGCGACCAAATTCAGATGGAGGCTCTGCGTTTGACTGATTTTGAGTAAACTTGTGAGATTAACGCTGGTGGCGGAAAAGCGTACGCGTTGAGTCCTTCCCACGATATGCTTAGTGCGTCTGTTGCCAATGCTAGTGGGTCTGGAACTGGCGATACTAATGATCAGTTGTTTGTTGAATCGAAAGGGCAAATAGGTCTATTAGTGGAGTTCCTATTTCCTTGATAATTTGAGTGAATATCTCTGTATGGAGCATTCATTCTGTCGGCGATGGTATGTGTGGCCGAGAGAGAGCGTCTGCTATCACATTCTTTGCTCCTGGAATGTGATATGCTCTGACATGTATGTTGAGATTGCCGATTAAATCGAACAATTGAAAACATAGAGTCGATAGGTTCGGGGACCTGGTTGAGCTTAGTTTGTTCACATAAAAACGCCACTGTCGAATTGACTGTGTGAATCATCCACTGGGTATACTGTAGTAAGTTGCTCCAGTGCATTAAGGCGTTATCACTGCTTGCATCTCTAGCAGATTTATGTGTAATTTGCTCTCTTGATTGCTCATAGCCCTGATGCCGTCCTGTTGGCAAGATGGGCTCCCCAACCTTGTAGTGACACATCTACGTAGAGAAGTGTTATCGATTCCAGCTCTAATAACGAGACGCCTATTCAAACATTCGATCTTTTGGTCCAAAATAGTAGATGAGGTTTGACCTGAACCGGTAGAGATTCGTCTAGATGCGAATTGATGATGACTTGTAATTGTAGTCTGCCTCTGCCTGTCATGTCTTGAGCTGAAGTGCGTAACCTCCACAGGCTCTGCCACTGTCGTAGTGGTAGCGGAGAGAGTAAGGCTTGTGGAATTGACTGTTGGATCTTGATCCATGG